CAGTTTATCAAATATAAGGTCGACTTTGGTCACATCGAATGAGAACGTCCTAACCATTTTATTTTCATCTTTTATAAGCTCATCCTTGCCTGACCCTCTAGGCTTAGCCATTATAGGACAAATATACACATCTCATTTGATTAATTCGACCAAATATATTTCAGTTTGATCGAAATACTCGTCATTAATGGTATGACCATCAAAATCTGGGTCTCTATAATAAGTCTCATTGCTAGAATTTTTCATTTTCTCTTCTTTTCTTATTAATCGTTCATACATAATCACGTTTGCTCTCAGTTAGAAAAGATCAGGAAATTCCCTATCTTGGAATTTCTTTTTTAAATCAAAGTTTCGACAACTTTGAGCGATTTTGACAAACTCTTTTTCGGGCAAAGGCACAAAACATTTACTTCTGGATGTCTTAAACCTTTGAAGGAAACCTTCCGCCCATTCGTTGGCATTTAACGTAGATTTGCCAAATCAGCCAAAGTAACTTCAGATTCAGTTTTATAAAATTGACCATGGAAGAATTGTTCCAGTTGTTGCCATGTTTGAACAGAGTTTGCTAACAAATTGATGAACCAAGAGAAAGCTACTCTTGCTAATGAACAAGGGAACAATCTCATTTTATGGTAGTCAGTCACTTCACAACTTTACAGTGTGAATCGCCATATATGTTCAAGAGTAGATACTTCTCCTAAACTAGTGAATAATGAAAATTCTGGCACTTTGTAACCTCTAGTCCATGGATATGCTTGGTCTACCCAATCAGGATATGGTTTCGTGTAAGTCGGCCTAATAACAGGGAGTACCCCAATAGCCATTTGGTCTTGTACTATTTCCATAATTTGATTCCTCAACATGACGTTGGGGTCATATGGAATTCCTACAGGTTAGTTGACTGGTTGAGTTACTTGATGCCTAACATTTGGTCCTTGGTTGGCGAGAAAGTTGCCAATGTTTGGGCCATTGTTACCGTTAACCTGGGTATTTATTCTATCATTAACATGTGAAGCATTCTGTCCATTATTCAGAACATTTTCTCTTATATTTAGGTTACCCCCCAAGTTTCACGTACCATTACCACTATTCAAGTTTGTCACTGCACCCCCCTTAGTTTGAAGTGATGGACTAAAATGTGGTTTTATCCCTTAATTTGGACTCAGGACTAGGGAATTATGTCCCACAATCGTCCTAATTTGAAAGTAGTTCGCAATAAGCACAACTGGCTGACACATTTGGCCTACTAACTTGTTCATTATTTCATTTAATATATTCAGTTGTTTGACCATGTTGTCATTTAACTTGTTCATTATTTCATTTAATGTATTCATATAATGTGGATTCCCATTTTGGGTAAATTTTTCCATGTTATGAACGTTTCGTAGATTTACCTATTCAACGACATCCTGTATAAATTCTCCAAACAATGGACACATGGTTCGATGACTCAACTCTATCATTGGTTCATAACGATTGCGACTCTCTGACTCTGTCCCTCTGTTCGTGGAGAGTTTTGCTGCTCCTCATATAGATCGATCACAGATTGGACTACTCCCTGACTTACTGGTTCCTTATCAGACTTATGAGGCATATTATTTCACTTTTTGTATCATCAAACACCAAACGATAATGTCCCACCGGGTGTACCAAATTGTTTCGCGCAGGTTGTCGCTAACAATTAAAAAAGGTTCAGACGATTGTGTAAGGAACAGACCTCTTGAGACAAAGTCCCAAAAATGGGTGCGTTATTCGCGAAGATTTATAATAGGAAGTAAACAGAATACCTCCAAGGGGTACAAGCACACAAGTACTAAAAAAAGTGTTTTAAAGTTAAACTAAGAAATTGAAATTACATATTCTCTGTTGAGAGTGTTTGATTCGGGGCCCTCTTCTCTACGTCTTTGTTTCCTTTTATATTTCCTTGATGATTTCTTTGTGAAGAAACTGTTTNAAGTGTTTTAAAGTTAAACTAAGAATTGAAATTACATATTCTCTATTGAGAGTGTTTGATTCAGAGTCCTTTCTCTATATCTTCTTTTCCTTTTTATACTCTCTTGATGATTTATTTGTGACAAACTGCTTTGAAACTGCTTGATGCTTTATAATTACCCACTTTCTTTATAATGGCTGACTTATCGTGGAACTGCCATCTCTAACTGTTGTTATTTCTCTTGTCATTTAACTACCTACAACCGTGATTCTTGGATCGTGGGG